GTAGATCAGTTTCCTCATTGTAGTTTAAATAGTAGTTATCCGGAAACCCGATGATGGAGCGCGGATCCACGTCCTTTCGGTGGATGAGGCTGCTCTACGACTTGCAATTCGGCGGACACGGGTCCAACAGAAACGGCTTTACTGATTTGCTTCTCTGCGTTCTGTTACGATCCGCGGGTGCTCTATCACGGATGAACGAGCAGCCTCTTTTAACTGCATCTAGGTCTGCTAGATGGAGGGCTAATAACTTTTTGCGGGTTAAATGTTTTAGTCCTAAAAGGGGTTCAGTAATTAACTGCGTCTAGTGGTAATACACAAAGAGGAACCGGCTTAAGACAGTACGTTGTCTCTAACGTAAATCCACTATGAAAATTTCCCAGGCAGTTATAAAAGGACGCAATATGCTAATTAGATCAGGCGTAAGTGTGGTTGAAACTGGAAATTTCAGCATCCCTGGTAAACGTGTAACATGCCCTTCAAATGGAATGCATCTCTCTTAGGAAGGGCGCAAGAGAAAATGAGACGTAGAAGGAGGGGTGTTGATAGGCATGCATAAACTACGTTGTGAGTGATAGAAGCTAAATAAAGTGACAGAAAGGCGAGACCACGTGTGTATGCTGAAATCGGATCAACTGTGCAGACAGGCAAAATAATTCACATGCCTTCGTGGCCTCGTTGAGGGTCCGGAACGGTATGCCAAGGAAGTGACTGAACGACAACGGTAAATGGAGGGTTAATTTTGAAATCAGAAGTCAGCGTCTCCAGTGCAACCCGGAGATTCAAAGACAACAAAATTGAACGATAGACAGCTGTCGATTTAGCTGACCTCCGGTAAGTAACAAGCAGAAGAAAGGGGAAGCATCAAAACTAAATGGAGGCCCACGGACGACTGATGAAATAAAACCGCTACGAATATAGCGAGGCAACACATTTCTAAATATACAGGCGAACACGTTGAAGTGCTATAGAAGGCATATTTGGGTTCCAGAAATACGCAATCGTCAGGTTGCTTAAATTGGATCCCTACTAATGAAACACCCAGGGAAAAATCCAGTTCATTTCGGAAATAAGCCTCCAGAAACGTCAAGTCAATGGCTTAACGATAAAAAAAAGTCCGAGACCACAGAAGGAATCAAAATCAAAAGCTTTAAGAATGGAAGGTATTTAATTTTGGCCAGCTGCGCCGGTAGCAGTGAAAATGGGATTCCCGGATGGTGTTCGCCGAGAAAACCTCCCCTGTGCTTACTAGTCGGCATGTTTGACAAAAGATTAAAAAAGGCCTAGAGGTTGTTTGAGGACGGAGCAGTCCCAAACAGCACGAGTCCTGAAAGCAGCAAAAAGGTAAGTCGGGTTAGAAAGGCGGATTTCCTAAAGGGGACCCAAAGATACTTCGTCAAGTATGAGGGTTAATATAAAGAGGGAGGGAAATCTTAGACAACATGTACCCGGATCAGAAAGGAGACAGGACGTTCACTCACTTTACCGAGGGAATAAGGCATTTGCCCTCGATTTGGATGAGATAATGACCCACAGATAGGGTCGGCACATATTGCCTACGTCATTTACACGAAAATAAATGAAGTTCGACAATTTTGTAATTATTCTAGCGTAAAAGTTGCGTGTGGACTCACTTCACTGAATCCAGGTAACAAGTGAGAGTTCCTTGGTCACATATGATGGTAAAAGTATGGCATATGCGACAACTGTCAGGCCAGGGATACATAAAACATTTTAAGATAAAAAAAAATATTGCCATACTGAGACAGTTAAAAACTGTATCATGTGACATCCCACTATTGGCACTAAATTGACTTGCCACGGAATTAACATAATTCTACAGCCATTGAATTAAAAAGATAGCGTAAATATACCTGACTAAAAAGTTCTGGACTGTTAAATATGAATGCGTTTTGATTCAAAACTTACCGTAAAAGCGGTATGGTGGGGCTCACGGTTCGCGAGTGAAGGGTTGAATTTGGCTAGGAAAGCGCTTGTCCCATTCCGGTCGATTAAGCCGCCGGTGAAGAGGGCCGGCCGCAGACGAATAAGCCCGGCAAGTGCACTGGAGGACGTAAAGGCTACTCGTTGACATAGCTGCGTTTTCGCACGGGGATTCTGAGCAGACATGCTTGCTGAGCTGAGACGGCTACCAACAGTGCCAGTTCCGGTAGCGGTGCTTCCACCACTGCCAGTACCTTCTGAGAGGCCACCAAGAACACCGTCAGCCCATAGTCGACTAACTGTCTCCGGTGTCAATATATAGTCAAGGAAGGTGAAAATGGAGGTGGAAAGCGTTAGCATCACCGCGACGCCTGGCTGGGATCGATCTACTTCGGTCGTATTCATGCGCTGGAGTAGGTGATGAAGGTTGCAGCCTAAGACAGCAGTAATCATCTCATCAAGGGCACGAGCTGCCGCAAGACGTACATGGTCCTCCGTCACCTGAGACCCTGTCGATGTTAACGTTGTAGCCAGATCGCTGGTCCTAGCGGTGTTGTCTTCTGGAATGGTGGTCAGAGTGGTACAGTAGGTGGCTGGTGAAACCATTTGCTGCTGGCCTGCTGACGGCACCCTGTTTGCGCTGAGACATCGGACTAACTGGAAAGTGATTGACTGCCACTGGCCCTGTTGGATGTCGACAGTGACCGGATTCAGGTCGCCCCAAGTAGTGGTGTCAATCCTTGGATTGAGGATGACTCCGGCAATACAGATTTCGCAGATGATTAGCTCTCCCAGAGCGGTCACACCAGCCTGTCGAAGGTAGGTGAGATTGCGGGTGGCGGGCTCACGAAGCACCTCGACGATAATGGATAGACACGCAGGGATATCTTGTGCAAGACAAACAGTGAGCTGGCGCGCCAGCTGTTCCTGTTCACTACTAAGCCACAAGAGAAGGTAGGCGGTTCGGTGCGCGAGAAGACCAATCAATCGACAGAGCCAAGTCCGCGTCTCAGAATTTGTGGTCGCAGTGGGCTGTCTCAGAAGTCGGACAGCCTCTTCTAGGAGTACATGAGCCCGCGAAATAGAGGAGGAGAGGAGTGAAGAGTAGTTGGGGTTCTTCTGCGCAGTTTTAGAATAGAGAAGCGTGGTCGCTGAAGTAAACCAGGTTAGATAAGCAAGACGACCAGCCAATTTTGTCTTTTCCTCGGGAGCTCCGTTTATCAGTCCAAGGACCTGAAAATAAAAAGTTTCTCGAAATCAGTAACTTTAGTAACTGGTCAGTAGCTCAGGCAACAAGATAGATTAATGGGGACTTGTTTTTGATTTCGTTGAAAGTTACGATGGTCACGCCGCACTTTTATGATTTTCATACGTACGACAGGAAAATATAGGGGAAAAATTATGCGCGGCGAAACAATGTCTGCTTCGTCTGAGTAATAGGTCTTAGAAGGGCAGTGAGTACAAAGACATTAAGCCTTTTTAATGGACCGCAAGGAGATCAAAAGAGAATGAGGATGAAAACAGCTGGTCGAAACCGAAAAATAGGCGTAATTTAAAGTTAGACGAGTTTAACCTGTCAGTGTTTAAAAACTAACGCGATTTGAACCCAGTGATCGCGCCGAATGCCTCGAACATTAGTCACTATTCTGAGATATGATCCAGCTAAAAATAAGGCGTGCATGTTTACTGCTCATAAGCTAACCTGCGTGAGTAATGCATCACTTAAAAAAGCTTATTGCGGTGGTCGCATAAGCACAGGAAAGAATATGTCGAGATTCCTTGATTAAGAGACATACATATTTAAACCTACGGTTCAAACCGTCGTTCCTTCTTGGGTATGGAGCTGATAAAAAGCTGCATAAAAGGAGACAGGCTAGAAGATATGAAAGGTTGAGACCACAGGGAACGTGATTCAGTGGGGAAACTCGACGTAATTTATCCATTTTCCCGCCTACTACATTCCTCTTTTTAGATTTAGCTTTTTCCGCTCTTGTACCCTAAAGCGGGACAGATGAGGATAAACATTCTGCAGGTATCGAGAATGGAAAAGCACCATTGAGTGGCTAGCAGATGTCCCATTAATGACCCAGTCGGTAACTCCCCTAACAGTAAAATTTAGGAGGTTAAAACTTCGACTTAAATGTTGCAAGCGATATAGCTGGCCACATCATTATCATGCACTAGTTTTAAGTATCATTCTCCATTCTTCACAAGCAGAACAGATCTGGGCAATAGATAATTTCCGTTATGGTTAGTTGACACTCATGTAGTCCCACTGCTATACACACAAGAAGAGGAGGGAACTCACCACTTCGAAATGTTCCTCAATCTCCAAGAGTGTCAGTGAGGCGATGTTCGCCAGAGAAAAGGTCGTGGTGTTGCCCAGGGGACGACTGTCAGCGCGGGATGAAGTATGAGGCGAATTCTGGGCCCACTTCTCATAGTCGCACAATGGCTGCGGACACCAGAAAGGACGTTCCGTAACAGCCGCAGTCCCATTTGGAACGAGGTCATCAGAGGGCTGTTCTAGTTCGTCTCTGAAGACATCCTCCAATTGGTGAGGGGCGTTCACGTGCACAAGGTCCACCTCCTGAGGAAGAGAGGCTGACTTATCGCCCCAGGGGTATATGAGCGCTAGGCGGGAGCGCGTCTGTGCAG